CATCGACGACAATGCGAATTTTGGTGTTTTGGCCATGTGGGACCGACGCGATTTGCGAGCACATATGTGTCGCGGTATAGATATCCCCCGCACAGTCCGACAAGGCCCGTTTTTGGAAGAAAAGGATAAACAATTTGTGAAAGCGGTAACAAGTAAAGTTATTTCACATGACTAAAGCACAAACAAAGTAGCTCCTTCAACAGAAGTTTCGGCACTATTGCACTATTACAACCCCAGTGGGGGCCGAGATGGGTCAAAAAATAATTTTCGCTGAAACTTCTGCTATGGGGGTTATCGAGGGTCCTGATCACGAATATGACATCCATTTTTGGCGCTGGCGCCAAATTGGCGCCATGGCGCCACAACTGATTCGCTGTAAACTTCTGATAGGGGTTATTTGGGGCCCTGATCACGAATATGACACTCGGTTTTTGACATTCGTGCTGTTTAACGCATATTTTCTGCTTTTCTAAGCTTTCTCACCTACAGCGCCTAAGACTAAGCTTAGGGGAGGGGAGTGAAACTCCGGAGTGGGTAAACCACGCACCGTGTGGCAAAAGTTGGAGTGTGTCAGACCACAGGGGAGTGGCCTACTCACTTTGGAGCCCTACTATCAAAGGCTTAGTCCTGCGATCTAATTAGTGCGAGGGCGCAGACGAGCAGGAACAAAAACGAATGCCATATTCGTAATCAGGACCCCAAATAACCCCTATACAGAAGTTTACAGCGAATTTGTGGGAATCAGTCGTGGCGCCATTGGCGCCAGCGCCAAAAATGGATGTCATATTCGTGATCAGGACCCTCGATAACCCCCATAGCGAAGTTTCAGCGAAAATTATTTTTTGACCCATCTCACCCCTGCTGGGGTTGTAATAGTGCAATAGTGCCGTTTCGATTCCCTAAACCCCAGTTTAGGGATCCGGAATGGATAGAATTGAAAATTTTGCTGAAGGGTGTTATAGGTGTTTTTTTTTCTATTGTAATGGCTGGGCTTCACACAACTTGACAAATTTATCGTTCACAACGTTTTGGACAAATTCAAGTGTCATGCACAATTTTACTTTCTTATAAAGAATTAGTGTGAGTTTAAGCTGTGCGGGGCACATGTTTCCCGCGTCGTCAATGTGTAAACCAGCTCATGCTATCATTTCCAACGCGGCAATTTCATCTCAAAACGAGCCCTCAAAGCTTATGTAATGTGGTGAAAGGTGATGTATGGCAGAATACTACTGTATCTGGAAGTTGTTTTCCTCTAAGCCTTCGTTTTAAAAATGTAATATTTCAAGGGCTAATAGAGGGCTGCTCATCATTCGGCAGCTTGAACGAATTCCAGACTATAATTGTGTCTCGTGGTAATTGGGTAACTTCACCCGCGATCTTCGCAGAAGATTGTCATGGTAAGAATTTTTTTCATCAACAATTGTAAGATGGAATGAAGGGGCAGTTTTTCACGACACAATAGGAATGGAAAAGCCATTTAGAAACTGGGATGATCAACAAACAGAAATTGTAGTGATTAGATTGTTAAGATACGAACCCGGCTCTGAAGATGTAGAGATCGTAACCGCTCATGATCACCGCGTTCCACTAGAACTGCTCGGGCGCGACGGAGATACGGGTGATATTGGACGAGTCGCTGCTGTTTGGTAGACCGAACATTACCATTTCCGTGCTACCGTATTCCAAAGCAGGATTGTCGTGTCCATGAAGACGTGTCGTTTCACGTAAAGGCTCCGAGTGAGAACCAACGCCGTTTTCTTTAGGTGGCGACTTCGCTGCCGAAACTCGTGCCGACTTGCTAAAGACGAACACCAAATCACACAGACGCTAACCACGATGAGTTGACACAGCAGTGAATCATGCGAAATACAAAAGAAAAATAAAACTGGGAAAGAAAAGCAACACAGGAAAGGAAAAGAACACAATCACACGCATATTGAACGCATCGCCCCGCTCGAACACTATTAAAGTCACCGTGATCAACTCGTTCAGAGCAGATGGTCATGGACGCCGTAGTGTCTACAAAGCGAACCTGCTAAAAATCTACTAACACAAATCACTTTTCAAAACTTTAAAACACTTTCAGTTGGAAGCTCGGACCGAATAGGCAATTGCAATTCTGAGAAACTACAGAAAAATCGAACATGTCAAGCCTCAACGGCAATAATGCGAGATAGCACTTTCATTCCGCACATTAAACGCCCGCCGCAACATTGTCAAACATTACATTACATTACCCTAAAAGCATTACAGCCCATCGCCCGAGACGCTTAACCAGGTTACGCAGCAATGACGAGGAGATAATAACGTGCAGGTAAACTACACCAGCAACAAACCTTGCTAACCGTTCGAATCCTGGAGATGATGTCGTGCCCTTCAACTGCATCACTGCCATCTCTCGTGGAGTTGGCAGGGTGATAGTGAAAATGCTGCAATGGAATATTGTAGGTATTACAGCCCGGGTTTGGAATAGTATGATTCATGTAACAGCCGAGTTAACGAATACGATTTCATATTTCAACAGCTTTACCTCTCATGTAAAGACTTTACTCCTAGCTATACGAAACTAAATTTGATTTCGAACGATGTACTCCAAATGGTAATAAATGGATATCTAGTGCCTTACGAAGCTCACCTCTTGATGACGAGATCCCAAATCAAAGTGGCACACGGGATGAAAATTAAGGCGCACCAAAACAATGTGGAAGACATCATAATATAAGCCATACCAGCCATGTCGCCACCGATTCGCGAAGATATTGTAGGAAACACCTAAACATTACATGAAACGAAATTTCTCCTTACACGCACACATATCAGTAATACTAACCGCGGCATACAGAGGTAAGAAAAGCAACCAAAGCAGGATAGAGCCGAAACAAGCAGCCACGATTGGCCATGTCCACGAGTCACACTCCAGAAGTGCTTTCAAACATACCGTGACAACCACAAACTGGAATTTAATCATGGACTGCCGTGAAAAAAGAAAGCGACTTGCCTCAAACATACCGTGTACGCGCTGTTGCCGAGCATAAGCCATCACGCATGCTTACCAGGCCAACAATGGAATCCAGGAACCCATAAGAGAGGAAGAACAGTGAGAGCGAGTGAACGAGAGCCATACCAATCCACAGGAAAAATTGCTAAAAATTCACTATAGCTCTTCTCCTTGCGCCTTCACATACTGTGAATAAAAACAACGATAAAACGTACTCCCAATGAGAAACGATCGTTTTTGAAAGCTGTGGTAAAGGGCGGGATGCCGCATCATTATTTCAGCATCAACTGGACGGTCGAACAAACCAAGAACTACAGGAGGCCATGCCGTAAAGATGACGTTAAATAATCCGATCGTCCATCGCTCGAATATTGTTTGGCCGGACCATGCGGAGAAT